GCCCTGCCCCGCGGTGGGGGATGGGACAGGCCCGGGCCCCGCACTGGCGGCCACCCACGCTGTTCCACTGGAGGAGCGGCTGGCGCCGCTTTTTGGACCTTTTGCCCCTGAAGAACCGCTGTTAGGGCCGATTCCGAGCGCTGATCCTCCCGTGTCAGATTCGTCGAGCATGGGGATGGGTGCTGCCAGTGGTGTGGATGCCAGGCCGGGTTCTGCCGGCCCCATGCCGCGGGTTTCACCTCCTACGAGCCCAGGTTGTCCCTCGGCAGCAGAGCAGCATGGTGCCGTGGCTTCGCAGGCTGTGCCTCTACCGGCACCTCGGTCCCTGCCAGCGCTGGAGGTGGGCCATGCCAATCTGGCTCCAACCCACCCCGCCTCGGGTTCCCGGGCATCGCCCGTGCCTACGGCTGGAGGTGGCCCTCCCCCATCGCCTCCTGTGGTCGCGGCAGACCAAGGTCCTGCACTGTTTACCATTGGCTCCGGTGGTGCTGCCGCGGGGGCAAAGCCAGTGGCCTCCACGGGCAAAGGGTCCCAGGCTGCTGGAGCCTCTTCGGATGGCCTGTAGACTCTGTCCTATTGTCAAATGACTGTGCAGCTGAGCATATCAGGCATTCCATGTGCTTCCGAATGCTTTGGTTCGGTGGGTAAGGGCATGAGTGCTCTTCTTGTGGCGTGGTTGAATACCACTGCTCAGGGCATCATTGCTCACCTAGGGGACGTTGATTTGAAATTCCTGGGGTGCATTTCTGCCATGAGTTCCACACTCATCCCTCCTGTTCCTATCCCTGTGGGACCCGGGTTTGCTCACCTTGTGCCTTTTGAGTTTTATGTTCGCAGAGCTGAGAACCAGCTGCGAGGAGATGGTGGCTTCGGGTTTCCTGGACCTCCCTGGGTCACTGGACTGCTGTTCTGACAGCCAGGGATCATCCTGAACGGGTCTGCACCCTTGCCATCCTTGGTGAGATGCTGTCAGAGATTAGCCTCTGTGGGTTTTTGACAGTGTCACGGACATCACGATTGTCAGGTTTGCTGATGGGCCCCCAGAGTGACTCTTGGCCCAATGCTGGCACATTCAACACAAAGAAGAAATTGAGACTGACTCTTTGTTCAACATTTTCTGTTGTCTTCCCTCATAATAGATTAGTCACCTTCTGCAACTTGATGCAGGAACAGTTGGATCACGGTGATCTGGAGCTTCGACCAATCCCTGGGACATTCCTGTTTTCTGTATCAAGAAGAAGTCTGGGAAATGGAGGTTATTGCAAGACCTCCAGAAAGTTAATGCTATGATGGAAAGCATGGGGATGTTGCAGGCTAGCATGCCTTCAACTGCCATGCTTCCTGCTGATTGGCTAGTCCTCATTGTGGCTCTGAAGGATTGTTTATTTACGATTCCTTTGCATCCCAGTGACAGACCGAAATTTGCCTTTCTGGTGCCAGCTATCATTAATGCTGAGCCCACACAGAGATATCAATGGAGATTTTTGCCATGAGGCTTCTGAAAATTTGCCAGCATTTGCCAGTGATATGGGGCTCTAGTCATCTCTGGAGTTTGTGAGCAGTTTCCTGATGCTCATCTCTACAACCTCCCTGAAATTATTTGAGGGTCAAAATAATTTTGGGGCGAACAGTCCTGCATCTGGAGGTACAATTATTTTTTTGCTTTCAGTGCAGACACTGCATGAATGATGTCCAGATATGAATAGATTTTACATGGTTGTGTCCTTATATGGGACTGACCACGACACAACTGTCTCCCTTGTTTGGTCTGTTAAAGGGGGACTCTGATTTCAAGTCACCTCTGACACTGACCCCACAGGCACAGTAGATGCTGGAGGAGGTTCTGTGAGCAGTTTCTGCTCATCAAGTTTATTACATTAATCCTTCCATTGATGTAGCTGTTTTGTTTTCATTGCCACTCAAGATTTGTATTCCACAGGTATCATTGTCCAATGAAGACACTTGAAATGTCATTGCTACCTGGAAGGATGGATCTGAGTGGCAGGTTTTAGAGAGTCATGAGGCTGGATCAGCCCAATTGATAGAATTACGGGCTGCTGTAATAGCATTTCATAAGTTTTCCCAGGCACCTTTCAATTTGGCCATGGATTCTGTCTCCGTGACCAAACTGAGAGCCATCCACAAGCAGGTGTTGATGTTGCACATTTGTTTCATTTGGTTTTTTTGGGTTTTTGTTGGTTTTAGTTTTTGTGGTTTTTGGGGTTTTTTTTTGTAATAACAAAAGATTGAGATATCACCCTGAAATTACAACCTTCTGATTGTATGGAGTATTGTATTTTCCTGTTATTTATCCTTTTGATTGTTTATAATGTTGCTAGGTTCTTTGTTCATTTTTCTTTTTTCTTTTTTTTTTGTTAAACCAAAAAGGGTGAGATGTCGCCCTGAAAACTCAGCTTCTGAGCTTGCTGACATGGTTTTCTAAAGACTTTCCCAGGACAGTAACTGTAAACATAGATATGTGTACATTCTTTCTGTTACATGTCTTGTGACGGGCATCTCTCATGGCCAGTGCAGCGAGAAAGTGTTATCCTGACCATCCAATCCCTGGCCGTGGTCAGAAGCCTATAAATCCTGTGAGGAAAAATAAACTCTCTCTTCTTTTCACCACACCTCGACCTGTGTCCATGTGATCTATTCATCTTCAGCGGCAACAAATGTAGGATTGAATTATAGCAATAACAACTGATTTTAGACTGCTACTCTGGGTAATTGTGGTTAGACGTTCTTGAGTTGATGGCTGGATGATATGCTGTTTCATCTTTTTTTTCTTACAGTCAGCTTTATTGAATATGCATTTAAGGAAGAGCTAGTGAAAATAAAAAGGGCACTTTATGTATAACAACTTTGTGTTTATGCTAAAGCCACAAGAAAAATGATTTTGTGTCTTAGTCAAATAAAAATTTAGATTATCTGAACACATTTTGGATTACACTGTGGTCAGTAAACCCTGCTTTGAAATTAGTGAAACTGGCACAATTACCATTGCATAAAAATTAACTTTCCCACAATTAAGTCCACACGTTCAAAATAATTTTTGTTCATTTTTTGTAAATTTTTTTGTTTTGTTTTGTTTAGCATTCTATAAGAAAATGGTTGCTGGAACAATGTGTTTAACTTGGAAGAAAAAAGTTTGTTCCTAAACAAATGTTCCCAGCTCCTCAGCATGTATCTCTAATTCATTAGTTTATTCCTCTAGAAATATTTCTGTTATGTGACACTTCCATATGGGTTTTTCTTTTACCCAAAAAGGAATATAGAGCCTCACCAACAGAATTCTTTAGATTGCACTTTATGTCTTGTTTCTAAGGACAGTTAGTCTGAAATTATATAATTTTACCTCCTTTTATAAGTCTGGAATTTCTTTCAATGTTTACACACAAATAGAGGGTCAATGGAGCATCAGTTCCCATATTAGTTTCAGGGCTCTGATCAATCTCATTTATATTGCTATGTCAGATGTTTTCTATATGAATCTTTGGTGATAACATTATTACAATGGAAAGGAGAGAATTTTCATTCTTATCCAAAGAGGTGAACCAAGAAAGATATCTGAAAAACAGACTTTGTGAGCTTCCTGTACCATGAGAATCAGATATCTCAGTTTGTGGAGTGTGGATGTGTTACGTGCTCCTGATAGACATTGCATTCACCCAATAATTTCTGCAGACTCTGTGGGCATCACTTGGGAATAGTTTCCTTCCAGGAGTGCATTAGCTCAGGTTAAAGAGCAGCCCATTGCCAGTTCTGAGCAGTTGCATGCTTTATGGCAGTATTTCTGCAGCTCTGGAGACTGCAAAGTAGGCCATATTACCTTTTTAACCCTGCCTGCTCCTGCTGCCATGGAAACTCCAGGTGTCTTTGACAGACATGAGGTGATGTTCTCACTTAGCATTTTCTGCTATTCCTTTCAACAATATTAACATATTAATATTTTTAATATTAATGTCTAGGTTTGGAAGGTTTGGTCTAGATTTGGAAGACAGGTGTCTGCCAGGGAAAGCAGGAGCCTCCCTTGGAATGAAACATGTAGAACCCCTCCCTCCAAATTATTATAATTTTGAAATCAAGGGGCTCTCAGGCAGAGATCTGGGGATAGAAATAAAAGTTCTTTACTAATATTTGTAACAAGGCAAAGAAACATCAATAACTACAACATTAACAACAAAACAGAACCATGACAGCTTTCTCGGCTGAAACAGGAAGGGATGGAGAAGAGGCTTTGCTTCAGAAACCCCCTCAGGCAGTCAGTCCTGGTGCTCCTGCAGGGGTCTGAGGAACTTTTAGCTGGAACAGCAGGGATGAGCAGAGATCCCAGGCTGGTGGATGAGGTGTATCAGAAGCTCTGTATGGATTTTATCTGATAATAAATATTAGAGGGACAAAGAGAAAAAAGAGAGAAAAAAGAAAGAGAAAGAAATTAAGAAGAGGTAGGGGGGCAGAAAGATATTGACAGAGACAGATTGAAGCAAATATCATGGTGACTCCATGGATCCCAGTGGTGTTCCATTGATCCTCTCCAGCTCGTCTTCTTGGTGGTGATGGTCCCCCCAAAACACATAGAATCCAATGGATTAATATCTTCATACCGTTTTTGCTATAATGGGCAGAACTCCCTCATAACAATGTTTAAGGCATGAACCATTTCCATCTCTGACAGCAGGGACACTTTCCACTAGACTACTTACTCATAGCCCAAATCCAGCCTGGCCTTGAATACCTCTGTAATCTATGGTTATTTTGAGGTAAGGGGTCAATATTTGTTTTCCACTGAGCACTAGAGAAAGCTGAAAGGAATTTGAAATGCTCTGCACATGTTTTCAGAAGATTGGAAATAAAAAAATTTGTCCTAATTCTATTATAGGAATAATTGCTCATTTTTCCTGCTGGCTAAGTGTGGTTTAGTAGTAGTAGTAGTAGTATTGTGGCATATTTAGAAAGACTATATTTATGTATTTTCTTTAGAGAAAAAAAATGTTGCTGATTTAATAATTTTCTTCCCTGTTGCAACCAGTTCTCAGTTGTTTTTGGATTATAATATGGCCTATAATTCAGTTTACTATTGACTTTTCTGTGCTTCCTGCTCAAATCTGACTTTCACACTGCACATCTTTCATATTATCTCTAGAATGAAAACACACTAAATTCAAGCTCCATCATTCAAATGACATTTTGTGAACTTCAGTACAAGAACTACATATCATGAAGTCTTCATGTCATATTATCCACCTATTTCAATCTTTCATCTGCAAATCCCTAAGGTTCAAGTCAATTTTGATAATCTTACAGGCAAAGTCCCCAGTCAGTAAATGGTGTCAAACCAGCTTAGTCCAGTAGAAGTCTTGTTCAGCCACAGCATGACTCCCACCTTCCCTGCTCTGTTTTTCTCACTTTATGGAACTGGAGGAACATGAACCCACCCAGAGTCCCAGGCTGCAGAAGACATTGAGTAAGTAAACACCCCTCCCCACCCCACTTTCCCTCAAAGCTTTTTGTTGGCAGAGAATCACTGGGGCCTTCCTGAACAAGTTTTCATTGCAATACAATACAAAAGGAATGCGAATTGGCTGCTTCCTTTGATACCACTGTGACATTTAAAAAAAATTCTTATTTCAAAACAGTTTTTCTCCCTCACTCTCCCCAATCCTTCAATTCCTACTACTCCTTACAAGTCTGTAGAAATTCATAATCTTGCACTATGAATTAAAAGGTTTTGGTTGATTGGTAACCATAGCCTCTTGGTGATTTATTTAAAGCAAAATGTTGAGATAAAATTGAATATTCTCATTTTAAATACAGTTGGGACCATTTCTTTGCAGGTTTATGTTGTATGCTCATAGCATGTGCACTTTTTCTCATTTGTGCAGATGTTGATGCTTCCTTATCCACCTGTAACAGCTGTGCATCATTCTACACCACTTGCATGGGTAAGCTCCTATTGGTGCTTATACAGGAACATATTTCTGAAACTCTTTAGAAGCCCCTGAAAATATATCCTGTCAAGTAGATGAATGTGTAAGAGCAAGTAGAATGTGGGTCTTTCAAATGTTAATTTTTTATTTAAAATTTCTGATAGACAAGAAAAAGATGGTCAAAATTCTGTATCACTACCTATATTAAGTGATAAATCTTGTTAGTAAAAAACTTATCAAATAATATATTTTCAGCTTGTAGGCCTTTTGAGGGAAACTAACAACTATATGCTATGTGTTGCAATGTATTTTGCTTTCTCATCTACATAAATTACAATAGAAGCCAGT